AAATGCATTTAATTACTCTGTATGTAATTGCAGGAGATACTTTTTCTCAAGTACTTAGCTAAAATCTAGGCAAACTGTATCAACCGAATTTCCTGACCTATTATCTTAGTAACCCTTTCAAAAAAGAAAAAAGGATTTGTCTCATGTGATTATTCTTGATTCAGCCATGATGGTTTTCTCTTCTCAACCCTCATGTAGGTATTCCATGACCATCTCATTAATAATTCAGTTTAGAATTTTGACAGGAATTGAAGTCGGGGTCACTGATCAATATTTTGCAGATTACATTCTCTTTGCTTTAAAAAAAGAAGGGACATACACCCTTCTCCAGTCTCATAGTACCTTCCCTATTGTCCATGATTTTTCATGTATCACTGACCATGGTTTACCACTCATATCTGTAATCTCTTTTTATTACCTAAAGGTATAGTTCATTTGGGCCAGATGACTCTCTTACTGTCTTTTTCCTTTCATTATTTTGAGTATCAGCTCCCTATTAATCATTTTGATTCTATTTTCTTAACCCCTAATCTTTTTCTTCTTTCTATTTATTTCTATTTCTATTAAGATTGCTTCTGTCTCTCCTTCCCTCTGCCTTAACCTAAATGCTCTCCACCACATCTCCTTTAATTTTTGGTTTCATTGGAGGAAAGGAGGAGGAGGATGATGATGATGATGTTGCTTTAAGATTTGCAAAGGGATGTGTGTGTGTGTGTAGTTATAATAATAATTATTGTAATATAATTATTCCCATTTTACATATAAAGAACTAAAGACTGAGAGTTAATGATTTGCCCATAGTCACATAGAAAACAAATATCTGAGGCAATATTCAAACTCAAGTCTTCCTGACTCCCAAGTACTATATTGCTACCCCACTTGACCTACCTTTACTTATGCTATTTTTTTTTCTTTTAAAAATAAAGTGTTCCATTCCAGAACCTCATCCTCCCAAGTTTTAGTGATGTCTGTGGAGTTAAAATTAAGTTTTTGTATTGGGGCCCTCTAATTCCTCTTGCTTATTGCTTAAACTTTAGCTTCTTTTGTTGGATTTTATTTCCTATGAGTTTAGACAGTGTCTCCCTCCTCCAATTTTTTAGTTTGAAACTTTATTTTGTCGTGTGTGTGTGTGTGTGTGTGTGTGTGTGTGTGTGTACACGTACATATGTATTACAAGGATTTATCTCCCACCCCCGAACAGTTGCTTGTTTTTTGTTTTTTTTTTGAATCATAACAAATCTGTATAGCTCAGCAAAACAGATTTCCCAAACTAGCCACATCCTAAAATGGATGTTTCATTCTTCATTTTAAGTGCTTCACTTCTTTAGGACACAGCTTTTTAAACTGTTTCCACTCTCAACCCCTTCAGCACTTCTTAAATTGAACTGTGGGTCACTCAACTCACAGTTTAAGAAGCACTGCTCTAGAAGGAGATGGGTGACAAGTTTCTTCTTTAGTCCTCAAGTTTATCATTGCATCGATCAGGTTTCTAAAGTTTTTCAAAGTTCATTTTCTTTATCATGTTGTCGTTGTATAAATTTTTCTAGTTCTATTTACTTTTGTTCTGTGTCTTTTATTAGAGGTATTCCCAAACCTATCCATTTTGTCTTTTTTTATGACACAATAATATTCCAGTATAATCATAAATCATAATTTGTTTAGCCATTCCCAAATAGGTGGACACCCCCCCTTACCTTCCAGTTTGGGGATACGATGAATAAAACTGCTAAAAAAAATTTTTTATCCTTTTTTTATCTCTTTGGGGTATAGGCATAGTAGTAGGTATAGCTGTATCAAAGAATATTGAACAGGTTAGTAATTTTTTTGTAATAGTTCCAAATTGCTGTTCAGAATAACTGAATCATTTCACAGCATCACCAACAATGGATTAGATATAGAACATTTATTAATTGCTTGCACTTAAGGCCTTCTTTCAGTGTTTTAATTCATTCAACATGCATTTATTAATGAAAGCACTGTTTAAAGATACAGAGATAAAAAACGAAATGGTCATGTCCTCTCAAGAAAGGTATGGGGTGAGGGGAGGGTGGCATGAGAATATTTTATTCATTGACTGCAGCATTGGAAAGAAAAACAACTTCGACTTAACTTTGATCAGTGCAGTGACCACACAAGAGGGCCTGCAAGGAGCCAGGCATGCTTCCCACCTCTTGACTGAAAGATGTTAGTCTCCGGTCACAAAATGGGACACATTTTTGAACATGGTTGATGTGGGTGTTCGTATTGCTTGACTACATTTATTTGTTCAGTGTTGGGGAACAGGCAGTAGTGAAAGCAGTGGCACAGGAAAGAAAAGGGCATTGATGAAGTATTTTTTAATGCACAGAATAAAACAAAAGGCAGTTCAGAAAAAAACAGACAAGTAAAGCAGCTTTGGAACTGATGTACCAAATTTGTTACATAGTTTTTTAAAAAGCTGTGGAGAGTCACCGTTTCCATGCAGTCCTCTTTTTCTTTTTCTTTTTTTTTCTTTTTCTTTTTTTTTAGTGAGGCAATCGGGGTTAAGTGACTTGCCCAAGGTCACACAGCTAGTATGTGTCAAGTGTTTGGTCTGAGGCTGGATTTGAACTCAGGTCCTCCTGATTTAAGGGCCGGTGCTCTATCCACTGCACCGCATAGCTGCCCCCAGTCCTCTTTTTCTGTTCAGTATGGGAGAATACTTATTGCTGTTTTTTTTTTAAGTCTGGAATAATAAAAAAAATTTAAAGTAAAAAAAAGAAGGTGACCGAGACATGAGCAAGCATGTTTGTAGGGGGTAAAAAAGGCACCAATAGATAGAGAGATTGGAAATTAAATGGAGCATGATTACTGTGGCAGGCTGCCAGTGGAATTGGATAGTAGAGGGATTGCCCTTGGCAAGGAGAACTGCTACCTGCTACCTCTTTATCAGATACTAGAGAAAAGGAGGAAAGGTTGGGGAATATCAAGAGATTTTGACATGTAGAAGAGGAAGCTAATGGCAGATGAGCTCCATTCTCTCAATAAAGTATCAAGCAAGGGATAGTTTTTGTGAAGTTTTAGGAGAAAAGATGTTTGACTTCAACTGTGGAAAGATAAAGATTCGCTTAGGGAAGAGTAAATGGATTACTTTGCTACAGTGAGGGCCCAACTAAGTTTAAATAACAGATATGGTCAGCATAACTGTATGACTTCCTTAAACACTATTTAGCAATAAATAACATCAGGGAAATTGAATACTAAGGATAATCCAGGTCTGGGGTTTGACAAATTATGTGTGAGTGCTGAAGGGACATGAAAGTAAGAGGTTCCAGGAAGAGGACATCGTATTGTTGAATCCATTAACTGTAGGGTCATGATTGGGAAAGGAGGAGAATAAAGCCAGAACAGGCATGATGGCCTGAGAGAGTTCCAAGTTCCAACGTGGGATTGGAGGTCACATTAAAAACAAATAATCAATTTTAAAGGAGTGAAGCACAGAAAAAGTTGGAAGGGGTGAGAGATTTCAATCAGATAAATAATTTAAGAGTTCTTGGTCACAGAAATAGAACACTTAGAGAAATGATTATTAAGTAACCAATTATTGGGGAGATCCAGGATTTTCTCCCTTCCTATCTCCTCAATCTCTGCTGGGTCAAGTCACCATCTGAAGGATATTACTGATAATGAGATTGGATTAACTTTCACTTCAATCTTGTTCAGATCCCACCCAAATCGTGTTCTACTCAGTCTTGGGTAGGGGGATATACTTTGTGTAGATTGTCCAAAGCTGGGGAACAGCCCCTCATTAAGATAGTTCTACCTCTCATTATAATATTCTTCTCATTAATTGTTAACCAGTCAGAATTGACTGCCACCTTCAGGAACACCCACTCTTCCAAGGGCATATAAGCATTGAGTAGGTTCCATGAGGGGTCTTTGGCATTTAAGAGTGCCACTGACCCCTTTTATTAATTTTATGCTAGCATAATTGATAAAATGATTACCCAGAAACTATGTCTCTGGAACTTTTTATACATTAAATATAATAGATCAAGAAAATAACCATTGCTGTTTGTAGCTGAGGGGAAAAGAAGGTATATGGTTCATAGAGCTTAGGAGGTTGATGAATTACTAGGCCAAGGGTGCTTGTGGGAATATCAGCATGTATATTGAAGTCCCTCAAACATAAGGGTAGATATTTTGGTGGAGAGGAAAACTGTCCCTGAAATCCTGGAGTGAGGTGAGGCTTGAACCTCTTACAAGAGCCCTATCATTTTTTCTATCTGTTGAAATACTTTTTCTTCAAGGACCAGTTCATATGCCATATCATTCATGACTTCTGCTTAGACTTCGTATTTCTACCCCAAAGTGATTGCTTTCTTCTTAAATTTCTGTACCTTAACCCTGAACCTCTTCTATAAAATTAATCATTTTCATGCTTAAAAATTGTTAGTCATTTCTGCATTTGTCTTATTCCCCTACTAAATTACAAGCTTCTGGAGAACTGGGATTGTTATTTATTATATATGTATTTTTAGAGTCTAGCACAGTGCCTTGTATATGTAGTGGATGCTTAGTAAATATTTATTGAATAATTAATTATTCAACCCATCTTATTTTAAGGCCCACCCTTAAAGCCTCCCCTGACTATGACATTTCTTATTAAAGTCACACTTCTCAGAATTTTGCAGTTAGGAACATGACTTTTGCAACACTAAGGTAAAAATAGAAAATGGGATTTGCAAACATGAATAGTTTGTCTCTCCAACTAAATTGCAAGCCTGTGGATGGTATATCCTTTTCTTAAACTAAACGCAACACCCAGCAGAGTTCTGGGTACATTTTGAGTAATCAGTGAAGAATTTTTGTTTGATTTAAAGTTTCTAAAGTTTCTTTTCATTTGTTAAGTCTTTATATGTCCCTCTTTTTGGAAAGAGCTACATAACAAGTCTGATCTATTAAATGTTTTCAATAGTAGAAAAAGAGATATTTACAATCTAAAAAGTTTAAATGCTGTCTGACTATGGATCTAATAATAGCAGGATGATGATTATGGAGAAGGAGAAGATGATGCAGAAGTCCAACAAGAATGTTTGCACAAATTTTCCACCCGGGATTATATAATGGAACCTTCCATATTCAACACACTAAAAAGGTAAAAGGAAAAGATTCTGATTTGTGTTGGGAAACAGAGAACGGGATAGCTTAGAAATACAGTCATTTCGAATCATGGGATGGAAGAATTTAGAGCCAAACAGGACTTTAGAGGGTTATCTCCCCCAATCCCTTTGTCACATAGTGGAGGAATTGCCATTTCTTGTCATGCCTGACTCTTTGTGACCTCATTTGGGATTTTCTTGGCAAAGATACTGTAGTGGTTTGTCATTTCCATCTCATTTTACAGATGAGGAAACTGAGGCAAACATGGTTAAGTGATTTTCCTAGGGTCACACAGATATTAAGTGTCTGAGGCCAGATTTGAGCTCAGGAAGATGGGTCTTCCAGACTCCAGGTCTGATGCTTTATGTGCTGAGCCACCTGGCTGGCCATAGATGAAGAAACTGAGACCCAAAGAGGTAAAAGGAGTTGCCCAAGGTCATTAAGATAGCCTAATGGCCTTACTGTAGATTCTTTCTAACCTGTTAGCTTTTCTACGTTACCTATAATATAATTGACCGTTTTTCAACGCTTCCAGGTATTTTCAGGCAGGAGGATCTCCAGAGAATGTAATCCAACTTTTATCAGAGAACTATACTGCTGTGGCCCAGACTGTAAACCTTTTGGCTGAGTGGCTCATTCAGACAGGTACCTAGGGGAATGGAATGGTGGGTCTAAACTAACTAGGCTTGTTTATTGGTTTTTCTTTACAAAACAGAATTGTGGTTTGATATATTACTGATAATTGCAGAAGGAAATATACCCCTTTTAACTTTGGGGGTTTTGAGGTTTGTATACGTAAGAACTGAATTTCTCATCTCTCTCAGCTTGATATTTATCTTTGATTTAATAGCTGAGGTTTCCTGATAGCCTGTAAACCAGATTATCATTGAATTTTACCACGTAGTAGAATTATGGAGGCTATGTAGGGCATATTTTGTTTAAAATTAAAAAAATTAAGACATGAAACAGTGTAAATAACAAGAAAAGGAGTCCAGTATTAAAGCCATTCTCAAAACCCATGTACCCACAAGGTACAAATCTCCTGCACTTCTGGTGGATTTATAACCAAATTATTCCTCAACCTCTCCAACTTCCTAACATAATGGAAGAGGGGACAGAGTCACTTAGTAATCACAAGCCCAGTTGTTTGTCTGGCACTTGGAATTTCTGTACTGAGAGTTTTACCTCAATTAGGATATGATCAAATACTACCACTCAGTAGTTCAATTCAGCAGCCATTTCCTAAGCACTTTGAGCTGTGGATAAGATGAGATTGAAAATGAGAGAATGATCTTGGGATGAAGCTCCCAGAAAAGGAGGTGAAGAAGACATTCAAGAGGACAAATGGAGGGTTTGGCTTTAGGAAGGAGAAGTGCAGGGACTTTTCCCAAGACAGGAGCAAGTGACAAGAGAATGAGGGGGGATAGAGGGTTTTTAAGGTATAGATTACAGAAGAAGCAGAAGCCCATAACAGATGGATTCTTTTCGAAGAAGAGTGGAAAGTAAGGAAGGCCCCCTACACAGGGGGAGGAGAGAGTGACAGCAGAATTGTTTTGAGGAGAGAAGAATAGGTTTGGAATAGCTGCTGACTCTGTGTAGTCAATCGGGCACAGTTAAGGAATGATAACATTAATTTTTACTGAACCCATACAGCGTGGTTGTATGACCTTCTTCAGCAGGGTTTAGCAGTTCCTAATTGGGAACAGAGAAGGACAACGGTGGAAGTTATCTAGAGTTGGAGTTTGGCAAGGTGTGACTGGCACTGAGCAGGGGAAAAAAAGGTCAAGAGATTCAAAGGGAGCCAACCAGAGGGTCGAGACTGAGACAGGAGGAAGTGAGGCTAGAGCAGGGGTGATAAATGTGAAAGAGTAGGTGAGGGTGTACCATATTGAGTTTGGAGAATAGGTTTGGGAGATGTAAGTCAAAGGGAGAGCAGGTCAAAAAGAAGAATTTCAAAGTTTTGGATCATGAGAAAGAATAGTTATGATCAAGGCTATCCTTGTGTGTGGCTAAGATAGAGTGAAGGTGATGGTCATGGGAGTTGAAGACACTAATGGACTGAGAATGCCAGGGTGTTTGAAGTGGGCATCAGCACATTATTGAGGTCCCTAAGAATGATGTGGACCATGTTTGGGACAGAGAGAACAACCGTGAGTCACCCTTTGAGGAGGGAGAATGATTAGTAAATGACTGTTAAAGATTTGGACCGGGTGATAAAAATAGATGGAATGAATCCTCAGAGGAAAAATTGCTGAGTAGTGACAGCAAAAGGAAAGTTTGGAGGTGGGAATGGGGAGCAAGGTGTGCCAACTTGTTCTTTTGGTTGGTGGAGGAGGGCATAAGGGGAAAAGCAGCCAGTACTCAAGATGATGGTCAGCTTCTGGGGAGAGTCAGGTTTCTGTGGATGTGAAATAATCTAGGATAAAATAAGTTTGTTAATGATAGAGTGGGGATTGCAGACCCTTAGTGGAACACAGAGTTGAGGAGGACATGTACTCTGGAGAGACAGAGCTGAGATAGGTAGAGATGATAGGGTCACGAGAGTTCACAGGGAAAGAAGAATTTTGCCTCACCAGTTATTGCCTCTGAATCATAGGGATAAAATGAGCAGAAACTGGGAACTTGCCCATCATACTGTCTGATAAATGACTAATTGATAGGGATCCCTACCTTTTACTGTTCTTTCATAACTGAGCACAGGGTCAGTGTGCATGCTCGTTGTCTCTGACTGCTGTGAGCCCAAGGTCCCTTAAACCTCTGAGATATATATGGAGTAGAAAGATAAGGTTATGATGAGGGAGTCTGGGGGCTGGGTTGGACTCATGCTTCAGGCCCATACTGCAACTATATTCCAAGAAGGGTGAAGCTACACCAAAGAAATATGGTGCAGGCAGTCAGCTCCTGATGTGTGTGTGTCCAGAAGCAAAGTCCCAGTGCTTCTCTACATATGTGCCCCTCCCCCATAGCTTTGGTGCACTGAGCCTTTTGATTTATGTTAACTTAAAGTCCCCCTTGGAATAGACCCTCTCCTGTACCATCCTGACACCTGGAGAATGAAGCCAGAGATGACAGTGAAACCCCTTCAGAGTCAGCCTTCAAACTCTCCTTTCAACTTACAGAAGAGTAATGGAATCCTGCATTCTTTTGTGCTTCCCATTTTGTGTGCAAATCAAAATTCAGCTATTAACTAATTATTAATAATTATACTAATATTTGTATTGCTCTTTAAGGCTAACAATGCTTTAAGTGTTTATAAAACGAGGTAGGTTAGTACAGGTATTATCCCTTTTTACAGATGAAGAAACAGGCTTTGAGAAGTTGTGACTTGCTTACTGTCTCACTGTGAGCCGGTGAGGCAGGATTTAAACCAGGTACCTTGACTCCTAGTTCCAACACTATATGCTATACCTAAATGACTCATTAGTTGAAATGAAAATTTTTTTTTTATAGACTAGTCTGTAGGTAGTCATGAGGTTGCTATTTTCTGTCTAATTATCTTCTGGTTCTTTTAAGGTGTTGAGCCAGTTCAGGTTCAGGAAACTGTGGAAAATCATTTGAAGAGTTTATTGATCAAACACTTTGACCCTCGAAAAGCAGATTCTATCTTTACTGAAGAAGGTGAGGTAAGGAAGATCTCTTCCCTGAAAGTTCTCACATTGCTTTGCATGATCTTTTTTCTCTCGTATTCGTGCACACGCAAGCTCTGATCACATATACAATTCCTACATCCCTTCCTGTAAAGCTTGTTCTATTTGGAGTCTGTTGAGTTGAACCTTCCACAGTGTGTTAGAATAAAAAAGGCAAGAAACTGGGTTCAAGTCCCAGCTCTGATCTTAAATATTAGTCTCTGGGCCTTAGTTTTCTCACCTATAAAATGAGGAATTTGTATTGGACCTTGGAAGAAACCTCAGTATGTGATATATGATTGACATCCTTATTTTGCCTGTGATTTTTTTGTTTCGTTTTGTTTTCTCTTTATTTGTTTTGCAGACCCCAGCATGGCTAGAACAAATGATTGCCCATACTACTTGGAGGGATCTGTTTTATAAATTAGCTGAAGCACATCCAGATTGTCTCATGCTTAATTTCACTGTTAAGGTAAGTTTGAGGTGGGTGGGTGAGTTGGGGCAGGGAAAGTAAGCATTTTTATAGTACCTATTATGAGCCAGGCACCATTATTATCTGATTTGAATCCTCACAACAGCACTTCAAGTTAAATGATATTATTATCTCCATTTTACAGTTAAGAAAACTGAGGCAAACAGAATTTAGGTGACTTGCCCAGGTCACACAGATAATAAGGGTCTGAAGCTGGATTTGAATTCAGGTCTTCCTAACTCTAGCCTCATTGCTTTATCTGCTGCTGTACCAGTTAGTTGCCTCTAGTGTTCTAAAGAAACACTGGAATAAAAAGATGAGAGAATGTGAATATTTTCCCTACTTAGAAATATTTTTATTTATATTAATTTCCAGTCAATATTCATACTTGATTTCTTATAAACCTAAATTCTGATATAGGAAGAATGAAGCATGGTTATTATATTCATAAAGTTTTTGGGTTTTGGTTTTTTTTTTTTTTTTAATCCATAGTTTCAGGGATATCCATATTTCCCTCATCTGTAAAAATGGCAATAATACCACCCACCCTGCCAACCTTCTAGGGTTGCTATAATTATAAAATGAGATAAGCAAAAGGACTTTGAAGATTGTAAAATGCGATAGGTATCTTGTTAAGGATGTGTTTGGGGTTTTTTAAATCCATTTATTTTTTTTTAATACATTAGGAAATTAATCATATTGACCAAGGGTCCCCTAATTTCTAAGAACCGTCTTAGCTCTAATTCTGTAAGTCTCTCACTTTGTAGCATTCCTTTTGCTGTTTTATTGAACTATTTAATTTTTTGTGTATTTATGTCGTACTAGGCTAGACTGAGCTCCTTGAGGACAGGAACAGTGTCACAATTTTTAACATCCCCTTTTATCTTATAATTACTCATTCAGATGCTATTGATTTAATGACTCAGAATTTTAGAGGTAGTTGTAACCTTAGAGGTCATCTAGTCAGAGTCAGACATTTTATAGATGAGGACACTAAGGTCTAGAGTGGTAGTCTCACTTGACTGGAGCCACAGAGCCAAAAACCAGGATTGGAACCCAGGTTTCTCACTCTGGTGTATTATTTCTGTTGTACCACATTTCCCAAGAGCCAGTTTTCTATGAAATGACTGAGAGGTGGTGAAAATTTTGACCTTTACTCAATTTTGCATTGTAGCTTATCTCTGATGCAGGATATCAAGGAGAGATAACTAGTGTATCCACAGCTTGCCAACAATTAGAAGTCTTTTCTCGTGTGCTCCGTACTTCACTGGCTACAATTTTAGATGGAGGAGAAGAAAACCTTGAAAAAAATCTCCCCGAGTTTGCTGTAAGTTCTGGCTCAAGGAGCTGGGGGGGATTGAAATAATAAGGTCCATATATCTTAAAACTTTCAGAATAACCCATTACATAACTATAGATCAAAAAAATTGTGAGAGATATTGCTGTTAGCATAGCATCCAGAGATGCTGGATACTTTTCTTTCCATATCTCACCTTTTCTGTTGGAATTATTGGTGCCTTAAAAATATTTTTATTATGAACATTTCTTTATACAAAGAACAAAAAAAGAACATGAACTCTTAAATATTGAGTAGTTTGTTATTTTAAAGTATGTATTAAATTTAACCTGATAATACCAAGGTGACCTGCTTATCTGTGTCCTCTTCTACTCTTTTCAGTGTATTTTTTAAATGTTTCCTTGATGCTTCTTAATTATTTTTTTTGTATCATTATCAGTATCTTCCTACTCCACCTCCCCAGATCTCCTCTCCCAGTTCTCCAGCTTCCTCACCTGCCAAAATAAAATCCCTTCCTTGTAACAAATAAATATAGTTAAACAAAACAAATTCACATACTGTCCATTATACTGCAAGCTCCTTGAGAGAAGGAACTGTCTTTTTCCTCTTTTGTATCCCCAAGTGCCTAGCACAGTGCTGGCACTTAAAAATGTTTATTGACTGACTGACTTATGACTAAAATGTCTCATGCTGGTGTGTTGTTCTTACATCACCTTCATTTCTGAATATATCCTTCCTCTGACTGTCTTCCCTCCACAGTAAGTCTTCCCTTGTAGCAGAGATTTTTATTTTAAGTTCAGCAAAATTAATCAACACACTGAGCAGATCTACTAGTGTATGCAGCATTCCATATTTGTAGATTGAGGAGGAGAGAGGTGCATTTTCTTAACTCATCTCTAGGGCTTAGCTTGGTCATGATAATTACACAGCATTGAGTTTCTATGTTTTTTTTTCCTGTTAAAACATTGTTGTAGTGTTATATATATTTTTTCCTAGTACTGGTTACTTCATTCTGCATCTGTTGATATGTCTTCCCACATTTCTCTAAATTTTTACTTGTCACTTATAGCATTATAATTTTCCTCTACATTTTATGTACCACAGTTTATTTAGCCATTTCCCATCAGTGGACACAAACTTTGTTTCTAATTCTTGGCTATCACATTACTATGAATATTTTGGTGCATATGTGACCTTTCTGTCTAGTAGTGGAATATATGGGTTAAAGGGTATAGTCATTTTACCTAGCTTAATTACCTGGCAACTATTATTAAGTCATCCTTTCAGAATGGGAACTCAATTTTTTAATCTTTCCCACTTGGAATATTTCAGAAAATGCTATGCCATGGAGAGCATACTTATCTCTTTGCCCAATCAATGATGTCTATATTGGCCCAAGAAGAACAAGGGGGGTCTGCTGTGCGTAGAATTGCTCAAGAAGTTCAACGATTTGCCCATGAGAAGTAAGATCAAACATATCTTTCATGTTCTGTCTGATCTGTCCCATTACCACAATTCTCCCTTTTAAGGTCTTTTCATGATTTTGACCTAGCAAACAAAATCTTTTCTTTCTATTACTAAATCTCCGAGTTCCTTTAGAGTTCTCCTAGAAAGAATAATCCCACCTCTAAAGAACCCCCAATGGTATCTGCATGAGTAGAGAAAGAGGGTTAGATGCAAGATATGTTGTGAAGGTAGGAACAGATAGATTTGGCAATCAACTGGATATATGGGGTAAGTGTGAATAAGGAATTAAGGATAGTGCTCAGGTTACAAATCTAGAAGCCTGGTGGAACAGTTGTGTCTTCAGCACAAATAGGGAAGTTTGGAAGAGGTGGGAGGGGTTGGGGAGAAAGATGAGTTCAGTATTGGACATGAGTTTAAGATGTTTTGGGTTAGGGTCATCTTCATAAAGATAATAAACTCATAGGAGATAATTAGGTTATTGAGAGAGTGTAGATGGGCCTTGGGGAATATTCATTCACTGTTGGAGATCAGGATGTGGATGATTAATCAGCAGAAAAGCCTGAGAAGTGATCAGGTAGGAAACCAGGAGGGTATTGTCATGAAGAACAAAAGAAGAGAGAGTTGGCAATAATGTCAAGTACTGCAGTGAGGTCAAGGTGAGGACTCAGCAGAAACCATCAGATTTGGCAGTTTTGCAGAGAGCACTTTCAGTGGAGTTTGGAAACCATATTACAAAGTGCTATTAAGGAGCAACTAAGAGGAAGTGGAAGAAATTGTTGGCTTTTTCTAGGAATTTGGATTAGAAAGGGCAAAATGATATAGGATGGTAGCTTGAGGGAGTGGTTGGATTTAATGAAGGTTTTTTAAGGATGTTGGAGATTTGCCATGTTTGAAGGCACAGTAGGAAAGAAGCTAGTAGATAAGGAGAGACTGGAAATTTAGAGGGGTGATGGTGATTGAAGGGGCAGTCTACTGAAAAAGAAGATGCAGGAGGATTGGCCTTGAGATGCTGGAGTAAAAGAGGAGTGGGAAATGTCAAGAAAAGGAGGGTAAGCTCATGGCTAGTGGCTTTCATTTTCTTCTAAAATGGTGATGTACTCAGCTGAGAATATGGGGAAAGAAAGGTGTAGGAGGCTTGAGGAGAGAAGTTGGGAGTAGCTTCTGTAGGGAGTGAGGTAGGGAATACAAGGAAGTAATGAAAAAATTGCCTCTGTGCAGTGAAGGCCCAGTTGCAGTTAGCTACCATGACTGTCCCTCTATCTCCTACACCCTTCTACCTCTAAAGCAGATATTGGTTAAGTAGAAAAAAGACCATTCTTAACAATGAATTTGGGGGTTTTCTTTCTTTTTTTAAATCCAGAGGCCATGATGCAAGTCAGATCACACTTGCGTTAGGCACAGCTGCTTCGTACCCCAGGGCTTGTCAGGCTCTTGGTGCCATGTTATCAAAAGGAGCTCTGAATCCCGCAGACATCACAGTCCTGTTTAAGATGTTTACAAGCATGGACCCACCTCCTGTTGAACTGGCAAGTTTCTCTTCCACTTTTGCATTATGAAGAATAACACCATAAACTTTCCCCATTTGCTTATATGGGGAGTGAATTAAGTAAAAACAATTCAGCTTTATGACAGATTATTCACTAATAACTCATTGTTGCGAAAATGAACATAAATGTGATTTATGTGCCTATCAAACCTAGGGGCTCTTCTCTGTAGGGCACAGTGCTAAGCCTTGGATGTTAACTGTTTAAAACATTGTTTAATTTTTGCCTTTTTAGATACGGGTACCAGCTTTCTTGGATCTCTTTATGCAGTCACTCTTTAAACCAGGTGCCAAGATCAATCAAGACCATAAACACAAGTACATCCACATATTGGCCTATGCAGCTAGTGTGGTAGAGACCTGGAAAAAGGTAATGTAACACAATTGTTTGAACCTATTGGTGATGTTCTTTTGAAACTAGTGAACCCAGGTTTAATGAAATATTTCTCTGGTAACAAAAAAAAAGTGTCTTTTTATGCAAAACTGCTCAGGTAGTTAACAACTCAGTAAAATCCTCTTTAAAGCCTGGCGCTTCTCTTCTTATACTTTACTACCCTTCTACCATCCAGACACTGGTATGCTTACTGTTCCTCCTACTTGACACACCATCTTCCTGCCTTTTTATTGGGTGTCCCCCATGTTTGGAATGCTTTTACTCCTCCTCTGCCTCTTGACGTCCTTCAGGCCTCAGCTCAAATCCTATTTTCAATAAGAGACTTTTCCTGAACACCATCTTCCCACTCCCTCTGCTGCCTTCCCCCTGAGATTATCTCTTATTTATCATGTATGTATCTTGTCACATTGAAATGTGAGCTTCTTGAGGGACGTAGGTGTTGTTTATATTCTCAGCACTTAACTCAGTGCCTGGCACATAAATGCTTGTTCGGTTAGTGTAAGTTTATTTCTGAAAACTATTACGCCATGTTCAAAAAAGTCATTCAAACTTGTTACATTTTCAGAACAAGAGAGTGAGCATCAATAAAGATGAATTGAAGTCAACATCTAAAGCAGTTGAAACTGTTCACAATTTATGTTGCAATGAGAACAAAGGTGCCTCTGAATTAGTGGCTGAGTTGAGTACACTTTATCAGTGTATCAGGTAAGCAAAAGCCAAGTTTTCCCATCTTTATAATCTTCATGGTTGGCATTTTAGGTGTTCTTTTATTTAAAAAGCTAGAAAAATGACAGTCTTCAAGTGAATCTTAGTCATTTATCTATAGTTAATTTGCATACTGACTTCACATTAATAGGAAGGCCTTTGTTGCTGTCTCTGACACATGCATCCAAAAAGAAAGAAGTTGGGAGTTTTACTTCTAAAAACTTATGCCACTTTCAAAGATCAATTCATAAAACTAGCCTCATAAGCCCTAGGAATTTTGGCTTTGGATGGATCTTTGAAGGTGGTTTATTTATTTTGCAGGTTTCCAGTGGTGGCAATGGGTGTACTCAAGTGGGTGGATTGGACAGTGTCAGAACCACGCTATTTCCAGCTCCAGACTGATCATACACCAGTACATTTGGCCTTACTAGATGAGGTAAGGCTTAACAGCATAATGCAGGGTTATGTTTGTGTTGGGTTGTCCTTACACATACATCCATATACATTGGACATCACTCATCAAATAGTGTTAATTACAACTTTCCTCTCAGTGTGAAAAAATTCAGGTGTTACCAAGTATTCTTGGTCTGATTCAACAGCTATTAACAGTGACAGTTACTTTAAGGTAAATGTTTTAATAAGCACAATTGTGAAATGAGTTCTTTGGTAATCTTTTTCAGATTAGCACCTGCCACCAGCTCCTCCATCCCCAAGTCTTGCAATTGTTGGTTAAACTGTTTGAGACAGAGCATTCCCAACTGGATGTAATGGAACAGGTAAGGGGCCTTTCAAAAAATTGAAAAGCAATAGGAATTTTGAATGTAGTATTGTTTTAAAATAGCTTGTTTAAATCTCCACTTTTTTCCCCCAAGCTTGAACTGAAGAAAACACTACTGGACAGGATGGTTCATCTGCTGAGTCGGGGTTACGTACTGCCTGTTGTCAGTTATATCCGGAAGTGTTTGGAAAAGTTGGACACTGACATCTCCCTCATTCGCTATTTTGTTACTGAGGTCAGAAATGCTCCCTTTTGGTACCACTGACGCTAACACGGCCATAGCCTGCTTACTGGTTCACTTTGTAGCTAAAATGTTTAAGAATTGGGCTTCAAAGAAAAGACTGATGTGGAGGTGAGAGGACGGCCAAGGGGTCAGGAGTAGTGTTCAGGCTTCTCTCTCTTTACAGGTCTTGGATGTGATTGCTCCTCCTTATACTTCCGACTTTGTGCAGCTCTTTCTTCCCATTCTAGAGAATGACAGCATTGCAGGTACCATTAAAACAGAAGGAGAACATGACCCTGTGACAGAGTTCGTAGGTAAGGGTAAAACGACTGTTCTAGGTTGTAGTCTTTTAAAACAACTGGTTTCATTTTTAACCCATCCTACAATTTTTCTTTATTGAAGCCCACTGCAAGTCTAACTTCATTATGGTAAACTGAATCAGAGTCTGCTGCTAAGGTTTCAGGAAGACTTTCCAGATGGAATCATCCCTTCAGTTGTTGTGAGAACAGTCTCAGGACCATGACCTCGGACTCTGGTGATGTGAAAAGACTTTTTACTGACCCTATGGGTTATTTTTAAATGTGTGGAAAAATGTGTGGAATATCCATCTAAAAAGTTATCAGAATTTGGAAGAACTTGGATGAGCGTTTAACAAAAACAAAAGATACCACACAAGTTATACAACATATATAAATATAACAGAATATTAGTACAGTATAACAGAAATTGTCTCACTTGAACTGCTCTCCTAGTAGTCCCAGCATAAAACACTTTTTGTTTCTTTCTTACTCAAGATACCATATTGACCTCTCTACCATTAAACAGACAGGTGACTTTTCTAAAGTAGTTTATTAACAAATAACCCTGTATAGATTTTGGTAAACCATTCCATCAGTTTTCTGAAGACAAGGCAAAAACAGTGATTTGTATACTTCCCCCTTTGGAAGTATGTTTCAGTAAATTCAGTAAATACTTAAGGATGTGATCCAGGAAATTGAAATTGAAATGTGAGGTAAGACAATTAGAAGCAGCTAGTTATAGTTAATAAAACTTAAACTAGGGGATCCCCAAATGAACAGGACTCTTCAACAGCAAGATTGTAGTTACTGCCTTGTCCATCTTTAAATGTGCTGGTTACAATCCTCATCCAGCCTTTTTCACCCTGAGGGGGGAAAAATGGTATTAAGAGACATACACCCCACTTAAGTTACTCACTAAGGATAGATACCATATATATATATATATATATATATATATATATATACACACACACACATATATATGTGTGTGTGTGTGCGTGTATATGTATATATATGTAACAGGCATTATTTGCCAGTTCCTCTATGCTACAAATATAATTCCTCCCAGAAGGAAGAATTGTTTTTAAACTGGGAAGATTGGAAACAGATGAGAAGCCTGGCCCCCAGCTCAAGGTCAAAAGTAGAATTCCCCCCACCCCTCAAGTGTCTCAACTCCCAGCCAGGCCAATGTTTTGGGGTTTTTTGTTTTTTTTTTTCCAAATTACCCTATTCAGTTGCCCTTATCTGACCTTTCTTCCTAGAGTTACATCTCATTATAGCATTGATTAACTTCTTGTAGAAGGATAAAAATGGATACAATTTAGAAAGGAAGCAAACAGAGCTTCAACATTAACCTGCAACATAAATCCTGCCAAATGTTGCCTTTAAAAGCAGAATTACAAGGGGATGCAGTATCTCACCCCATGACATACACTTCATAAAACCCGGCATCATTTCTAGCCTGATCAAATCTAGTCAGGTCTTACCTGCACTACACTGAAATAAAGCCTGAGCAATCTAACCAACATCAAATTCCTTTATGATGTGTTTCACTTGGTTAAGTGAATGAACTTTTCAAGGGAAATTAACTTACCCAGGGTTCACCCCATGAATTCCGGACAATCCAGTATTCTGTTCCATCATTGTCAACGCCCCACCCAGCCACAGAAATGATATGGTTTATCATGGGTCTAGGATTGTATTCAAAATAGATCCCACCAGTGTAGTTATCCATGCTTTCTGTTGCCATTATGCCACAACTAAAAAGGAAAAAAAGCATATACTTCTACTTAGGCTAATTTTTTCCAAAGTATCAGCTAAATTCAAGCTAAAAGAAATATCATCTGGGTCATTCAGTTCAAAAGTCTCCCTTGGGAAACAATATATGTTTTTGACATTATAGGCAACAATGGCTCATGTCCCCAAACCCTGGGCTTTTCCAATTCCAAATCACCAGCCCCGGAAACAAAAAAGCAGAGTTTTGTTTTTTTTTTTTACCTGATAGGACCATTTGCATATATTTCTGCCATCATCTTTTCTCTCCCAGAAAGGGTACCATAGTCCCCAACTTTCCAGAGGGTATAGTTCTTGATGAAATAGCAATGCTGGAATTCATTGCATGTGCCACATTGGTTAAACTTGTCACATTCTGCAAGCAAAGTTAGATTAAACATGAGATGAGAATCAACTTTCTAAGGAGTTTTGAATAAAGCAAAAACTCAACTGCTTTCCCACTTAGAAAAGAAAATACTCATTAAACAAGCTAGTCAGAACATCTGCTTTTTTAATGGGATCACTAAGGGCAAGCTCCTTAGAATGCTGTGACATAATCTTAACAAAATTTTATGGGCTTTTTCTTGTTCCTGGCAGTCTAGGAAAATAATCAAACCTACTTTCTAGACTAACTAGTATCTTGCCCCCCAAGTAGGGCACAGACAGAGAATAAAAAGGGTGAGAAGGAAGAAAGTAGTAAAAAAAAAAAAAAAAAAAAAAGAATGAGACAAAACGAGATAATCAGGATAGGAAGTGAGGGGCACTTCCTGTGTCACAGAAATGCTGCTTCATGTTTAATAAATTAAAATGCCAATAAATAATCATTAGCTTTTTGAAGTGGATTGTTACAAGGCAGCCTGCTTAGGCTATATAATTATACATTTGTGATGACTTCAAAGTTGCTGGCCTACCCTGGTCTTTGGCCTGGTAGTTGTTGCAGGTCTCATCAGGAATGCCATGCTTGTTAGCATATTCCCACACAAACAGATCATTTCCCCCTTCACAGGACCCAGCATTGCCACAGTCAATCACATGTTGCACAGACAGGAGTGTCGATGGCCAGGCTCCCTTCCTCTTAATGTTGATTCGATCTGTAACGAAAGTCCCAGCATTTTACCTTTCAGAAACTTAAGCCCACAATACTGCTACACCAGAAAAAAGATGTTTTCCAAACAAAGTTAGTAGCAAATGAAGCTGGCAAATAAGTATGAACAACCTGGGTCACTTGGATTTGCTGCATTCTATAGCGACAGACCAAACTGGCATGAAGAAGTAAGTGGACAATATGGATATAGTTCTCAGGACATTTTTTTTCCCCACTAAAAGCTTTTTTTTTTTTTCTTTTTTAACCAGTATGAGGGGCCTGTCTTTGTAAATACCAAGAAAAGTACCTCATAAGTGAACCAAGTTGTCAGGGTATCAAGCTGCTTCTGACTCAAGAGTTACTTCCAAATCATACTAAATGTTCATAATTCTTTTTTTTGTGTGCACTAAATTTTAGTTTATTAGAGTTTTATATTTTAAACAAAAAAATGTATTTAGATCATAGTAGCTAACATTTATATAGCACAGTAAAATGTTTTACATATATTATCTTATTTGATCCTCAACAGTCCTGTGAGGTGGGGTCAGATAAGATAATGGAGGTAAAGCACTTTGCAAACCTTAAAGCACTATATAAATGCCAGTTACTATTTGTTATTATTATTAATTAGCTTATTATTTCAGCCTCCTAACCTACTGCACACCTTTGGAGCTCAAGCAATGTTTATGAAGCAGCACAGAGGGATACTAATAAGTGCTTAACAACTAGGGTAAAGGAGGGGGAGATGTATATATGTATTATAAGTTTAATTTTCCTCTTCAGTCTACATAATCAACAACAGGAAGCTATGTGATGTGGTGGGTAGAATGATAGACCTAGAGTCAAGAAGACCCCAGCTCAAATCCATCCTCAGACATGTAACAGCTGTGTGACCCTGGGCAAGTCATTGGACTCTTTACCTCAGTTCCCTTACCTATAAAATAGGGATAATAATAGCTCCTACTTCCCAGGGTGGTTGTGAGGATCAAATGAGGTAATTGTAAACTGCTTAGAACAATACCTGGTACATAGTAAATGCTATGTAAATGTTAGCTATTGTTATAATGAATCAAGCCCTGATTTGTAGCTGATTGCCAATTTCTGAGGTGTAAATGCACACACTGAAAATTTAACAATCCACTCAAGCAGTTTAGAGGATATTCCTATATGGTGGTAGGTACTATTAATATTCCTATCTGACAGGTGAGGAAATTGAGGCTTTCGATGTAGGCTGACTTGCCAAGGGTCACACAGCCAGTAAATGTCAGAATACAAGCCTAAGTCAGGCACTATTAACCATTCCACATAGTGTTTCTTTTTTAATTACCAGGCAAATTTAGTTTTTTGCAGTGTTCAGTGGTAGCTTTTAATATTTTTTTCAATTGTCTTTCCCCCAGATAGAAAAAAGTAAAATGAATAACATAAAAGGAAGCCCAAACTAGAAGCAATGGGTTACAAATAATGACTATCTTCACTATAGAGTAGAATCTAGTATCAGAACAACACCTTGGGCTTACCACCACCCCTAAGGTCCATTTGTGTCTTAATTAAATCCTTTGTTTATAGGACTTTAATAATTTGTTTTGCTTGTATGCAAAATTGAGTAGTTCAGAGACTAAAGATTCCAGCATATGATGTAACTGTACTGGTACTTTGTCCTTCTTCCCCACCTCTCACAAGAGAGGGACTGTGCTAGTGCTAGGAGCTAGCAAGAACCTCCAAGGCCATTGCTTGTCACAGAGAGTTAGCCTTTTAATTGTTGAATAGGAAAATGGGGCTGCTCACTGATTTTTAAAGTACAGTCAAAGCTCAGTCATCTGTGCCACTCTGAAGGGGAACTATTGTGAAAAAAATTCAAGAATCATTTCCATTTGGCTTCAAAATGCAAATGTAATGTTTTGACATAACACAGCCACCATTAATGGAAAAAGTGGCCCAGAAACTCTTAAATGAACTAGCATTAAATCTGATAGGCAAAACTACAACAATGTAAAGAGGAGGAACAAATATAATGAATCTGAACCTTGTGAAATTGTAAGGACCAAGTTTGGTCCCAGAGAAGGGTTGGGAAAACATAATGCACCTTTCTCCATTACAGAGGTAAGGGGAGTATGGGAATGAAATAAACTATTTTTCCCTCATATTTTAAAATCTTTGTGAGAAGTGGTTTCCTGGATAGTGGAAGGAAGAAATGTATTTGGAAATTACTAGGGATAATGACTGAACCTGTGACTTCTTTCAGAACTCCAGGATAAGCAAAGCTCCTTTACCAATGCAAACTGGCACCTGCTTGTGGCAATATGATCTTAAGAGTTGCTTAGAGCATACAGCATATGTCAGAGACAGGACTTGATCCCTGGTCTTCTTAGCTTAGAATTCAGCTTTCTATTAATTATACCACACTGCCTCTCGTTGTCAAGCATACTACAGTGCTCACATGATTAAGCCTGTTTTCCGAGGGGGCCTCAGCCTGGTGAACGAAATTCTTGCCGACTTGTCTTTTCCCTCCAAAAAAAAAAATAAAAGCTGAAACCCTGGAAGCTTCCTCCTCGCCACTTTTCTCTTAGACCAATACTA